TTTAAAAAAAAAGCAGACAAAAAAAGAGTACATACTTATGATTCCATTTACATAAAGTACTTTGCAAACTTATTTGTCATAACAGAAATGAAATCAGTGATTGCTTAGGAAGTGAGACACAGGGAGAGGCAAAAAGGGGCACAAGGAAACTTGGGAGTAATGGATGATTTGATCATTGTTTTGATTGTGGTGTCAGTTTCACAAGTATATTTATTGGGCCATCAGGAAAGTCATGACGCATTTTTGCATAGAAAAGTATGTCATGATTTTCCCAACAACCTAATATATATGTCAAAATTTATCAAATTGTACATATTAAATATGTGCAGTTTGTCATACAGCAGCTATATATTTAACATCTGTTAAAACATCTTGTCGTGGGACCTGCAGGTGGCATGGCGGTTAAGGGCACTGGACTTCCTCATGGCTGACTGTGGTTCGAGTCCTGGACCTGACAACTTTCTTTCTCACTTTCCTTCTCACTCTCACTCTGTCCCTCTTTGGTCAAATTTAAATAAATAAAGTTAAATAAAATAAGTCTTTAAAAAGAAAAAAAAAAAGAAACCTTGTCACAAACTAACCTCTAAATTCCAACTCACTCTACATATTGTAAGTCTTTAGGAGAAGCCTCTCTGGCCTGATTGTATTTCTTCTATTAAAACAATACTTAGTAAGTATGTAGGTTTTACATTTTGGGACCACTGTGCTGTGGTATGGCAGGAGAGTCTTAAGTGTCCCATTGAATTGAACAGTACCTAGAATATAGGACTAAATGGAGAGAGTGTGGTTTTGCTTGCTTACTAGAAATGTAAAGCACCAAGTTTTGTCTTTTGAATTGAGTTAGCTTTTTTTTTTTTAATTGCCAGAGGGCTCATACACTCACCAGAGAGAGACAGAGAAGGAGAGGAGAAAGCACCCCCAAGGGGGCATTGTCATACCACAGTCCCTTCTCCTCCATTTCTACGTCTTGTTGGGATTTGGGGAACACATGGACATGTGCCCAGTGTTTCTTTCAAGCCACCAAGCCTGATATTTGAACTGTGATCGGCCACGTGGCATCCAGCTCCTTAACCACCAAGCCACAAGGCCAACCCAGCTCTTCATTTCTTAATCTATTATGGTAGGTAGATACTTCAGAAAATACCAGACACGTGTGCGCCTGTACCCAAAATCCCAACAGGATGGAGAAGTGGAGAAGGAATTGCAACATGACCATGCCTCACTGGGGAGTGTTTTCTCCTCTCCCTTTCCATCTCTCTCTGGAAAGCACATGTGCACTCTGGTAAATAATTTAAAAAAAAATTTTTTTTTTAATTTTAATCCTTTGGGGATCAGCAGATGGCATAATGGTTACATTGCTGGACTCCCAGATAGTCATCCATGGTTCAAGTCCCAGACCTAGTGGCTTGAAACTCATGGGTGCATGTATGTGCACGCCCAAAATCCCAAGAGGAGAGTGGAGGAGAAGGGGTTGTGTCATGGCCACCCTCCCTGGGGAGTGATTTCTCACTTTCTATCTCTCTGTCTTTCTCTGTCTTTCTGTGAATGCATGCACCCTCTAGTAAAAATCTCTTTTTTTAAAAAAAATTTTTAATCCTTTGTTTTTTACTGTCAGATTCCAGATGTGTTACCTGTACCAGTCAACCCAGCATTCAGGTCAATTCGACTTTTTTTTCCCATTGAAGAAATTCTCATACACTATCACCTAAACTATTGATGAAGAATTAAAAAAACAAAACAAAACAAAAAAACTTCTGCGTCTCTCTTCTACTTCTAGTAGACCTGATCATTAACCTAGTTCTGGAGCAGATTTTTTCCAGTGCTAAGCAGTTAGCACACGCAGGTACCCCTGTGGCACGTACACAGAAGGGTACACGGACGAGTGCCCCCATGCACTCTCACCTGGTGCTATAAGCACCAGTTCTAGTTTCAGCAGGGTGAGCCAGCAGCCTGGGAAAAGTGTCTAGCATTTCTAACATAATTGTAGAGAGCAGGATTTGTGGCAAGGCCAGTCACTCAGTACAGTGGGCTGTGAAAGCATTTTTTCCACTTGTAGAGGAGGTTTGCTTTTTGTCCTAGTGTATGATCTCTTTGAAATGACTGTAAGTTCAACTTAAGGTCATATTCATTGCCATGTCCCTTCTTCACCTTAGAAGTGGATCTTCAAAATCTTATTCCAGAGCATATTATCTATCAGAATAATCAAAGAAAGATGCAAGTATGTAAGTGGTTTCCATGGAGAATAGTCATTGAGAAGAATGTTACTTGGGGGGGGGGCTTTGTTTAATAAAGCGTTTTTTAAAAAATAATCCCTTTTTTTTAAAAGAATTTTATTTATTCATTTATTTATTTTAATTTGACCAGAGAGAGAGAGAGAGAGAAGGAAAGTGAAAAAGCAAGCCACCAGATCTGGGACTCGAACTATGGTTGGCCATGTGAGAGTGTCCAGCACCTTGACCACCATGCCACCTGCTGGTCTTTAGGGTCATACACACACTTTTTCTAAACTACTTATTTTAATTTGACCAGAGAGGGGCAGAGTGAGAAAGATAAAGTTAGAAAGCAAGCCGCCAGGTCCAGGACTTGAACCACGGTTGGTCTGTGCCCTTAACCACCATGCCACCTGCTGGCCCCAATAAATGTTTTTAAAAAAGAGTTGTTAGAATGTATTGCAGAATGGCTCAGTAGGAAGGATCCTGACCACCTCTTCCCCTGGAAACAATGAGCCCCAGGTGCTGGCTGGTGGCTGCTGCAGATTTATTCCAGAGGCTGTTGGGACAGTCATCCTTGGAGCTCACCCTGCCTGAGCACACTGTTCATTTTCAGATGGTAGGAAACCAATCCCATTCTCAGCAAATCCCCTTCTGCCCCACCCACACTCTGTGTCCCCACCTCTCCATCATGTGCACACTGGCTCTTTTGACAGTGCCGTTGACTCCAAATCAGGAGCTCAGACTAGAGGGCTTTATATGGCATTAAAGGACAGGTTCAGGGGAAATCTGGGATACCTGAGGTCTGAGCGGTGCTTAAGAAAGGAGCCAGTAATGCTGGCGAACTCGGCTATGAGAAGAGAAAACCAGGCCTGCATTCTGGTGTGCGTACAAATCAATGGGGGCAAGCATCTGAATGAGAACTGTATTAGGGAACATGGCTGACCGTGGAGACAAACACGTAGAGAGCTAACGGCAAGGAATCAAAAGGTATTTTTTTAAACATGTTTTCAATTATGCAATGGAAGAAAGTATTGCTAATTATAATAGCCACTTAGATTAACTTATTTTAATGCCCAGTTATAATGTTGCAAATAGTAATGTTGATCTTAAATATTAGGTTGTGTAAAAGTCATGACACAGTTGTGCATAGAAAAACACAGAAAATACCATGACTTTTCTGACAACCTAATAGGTGTTTTATTGACTTACATTTTATTTAGTTGTAACTATAAACTCTCAAAGTATACTTCACCTTTATAATTACTTGCTTGGCAACATAATCACAGGATACTCATGGTATCTAATGCCTTCATTTTCACAGAAATTCATACTTAATAGAAATTTTCACTAAAGCCCGGAGGTGTGGCACACTACCCAGCTACTCAGAGCCATGTCAGGGAGGCAGCCATGGTGTGCAGGCCCACTGCGTTAGAGTCGAACACGCAATGCATCTTCCTAAAATCTATTTCTCATTACTTATGAGCTAAAGTTTTACCTTAGTTAAAAAGCCAAGAAGAAAATGTGGGGGAGAGACCTTTATTGTCACCTAAAACAAACAAAAAAAAGCAGGGTTCTAATCTGATGACAAACTTTGATAAATAAGTTATATCCAGATCATGACTTGAAATTCCTATTGGTCCATTGGACAGTCAGCATATTACACACGTCTGCTCAGTTAAGCTGACCAAGTGTGGGTCCACATTGCCTAATTAAACAGAGGAAAGTTCACTATTAGACAACCTACCTGTAGTGTTTAAGCAAGTAACATTGAGATTGGAACTTATCTCAACCAAACAAAATTCCTTAACTGGTTAGGAGAGATCATTGGAACAATAGATGTGAGATTGCCTGGTGGGTGAAGGGGTATCACAAGGTCATAGGTCAACCTTCTGCCAACTTAAGATAGCTCCACAGAGTCTGCATACATGCTTGTTTTCTGGAGTACACCATAGTTCAGTGACCACTCTAAGCATTCCAAGCTTTGCCTTGCCGTCTTCTCATTATTTCCTTGTCTAGTGACTTCACTTTCTAATTTTCTGATGAAAAATTAAGGTTCTTCCCTGATCCCTCGGCACTTTCTCTTTATCTGCTCTTCCATCCCACATTATTTCAAGGCTACTCCCTATAACTTGGCTCTAACCTCATACGTTCTTGCTTTTCCACTTAGGGCCTTCTTCTCTCAGTTATTAGCACTTTCTCTAAAATTTTCTCTATTGGCCCCTTCTGGATTGCCTGTAAACATGCACACATTATTGTCCAGAAAACATCTCTTGCTGTCCCCCTAAGCCACCACCTTCTCTGTCAATCCTTTTATTGCCAAACCTCTGTATAATTTTTCTTGTATTTCATACTGTCCATATGTTCCTAGAAAGAAAGAACCATAATTTACATCTGACAAGTACCTAGCATAGTATAATATAGTCTGTGTGACACAGAGCTTGAAGCTTAACAAACCAGCATTCAAATTTGGACTCGCTAGTTACTGCTGAATAACATTGGAGAGAGCATTTGATCTTTCTCAGCTAAGCTTCTTTAATTGTAAAGTGCGGATAATAATTTCTACTGCTGTGAAGACAAAATGAATTATGTTTGTATAAACTCCTATATGGTGTCTGGCACATAATGGATGCTCAGGAAAAGCAGATTCCCTTCCCACTTGCACTCATGGAAGGATTTCCGAATGAATGACCAGATGGCCTTCTGCATGTTTCCAGTCAGCTTTACTGGCATGGCATCCACTTCTTGTTCTGTTTGATTCTTAACTTCCTTTTACTTTGTGTATTTCAGGTTCACAACCAGTATCCAAGTGAGTTTGAATTCAATCTCTATTACTTAAAGTTCTTGGCTTTCCACTACGTGTCTAATCGCTTTAAAACATTTCTTCTGGATTCAGACTATGAAAGATTAGAGCACGGTACGTGTTTGTATGTCCTGGTTCTATCTTTTCTGTTAGTTTTGCATGTTTTTAATGAACACTCTAATGTAACTACTCTCAAGTGTGACAAGCTCAGTGTTAAGGTTTCACTCTGAACTGTAACATAAATGAAGAGCAGATAAGAATAATGCCCAGATTGAGATTATGTGCTATGCTAGCTCTTGGGGATGATGAGTGGTCTTTTTGGTAGCACCTTGGTAAAGTTAAATCTGCTTATACTACTTTAATATCTCAAAATATCACTGTTTCAGGAGAAATGTTTAGCTCAGTTTTTTTTTTTTTTTTTGAGAGGTTTTTTTTCACTATAAGCCGTGTTCACAGACGGAGAGAGACATAGAGGCAGAAAGCAAGAAATCACCCCCCAGGGGGGATGATCACGCCGCAATCCCTTCTCCATTCTCCTCTCGGACACGCCCGGCATGAGTTTTAAGCCACCGGGTCTGGGATGCGAACCGCGGTCAACTACGTGGGAGTCCAGCGACATAGCCATTACGCTAACCGCTAGTTCCCTGTTTAGCTCAGTTTTTCATCCCTGGTACACTCTGTAGGAAAACGTCTGCTCTTAGAGGAAGTCTGAAGAGCAGTTACAGCCTTGGGGCTCTGGAGCAAACAGACCAGGGTTAAATTCTAGCCCTGGGTTATCAGCTGAGGACTTTGGGACCTCTCTGAGCCTGTTTTCGCATTATTTTTTTTAATTGCCAGAGAGTGCATGTGCAAGACTAAGATGGGGGGCAGAAAGGAGAAGGCACCCCCAGTGGGGCATGGTCATGCCATAGTCCTTCTCGACTTCATCCTCTGAGGATTTGGGGGCATGCATGCACACCTGCCCAGCATGTTTTCCAAGCCACTGGACCAGGATTGAAACCACAGTCAACCATGTGGGACATGGCTCCCTTAACCAGTAGGCTATGAGGGCCAGCCCTGTTTTCTTATCCTTAAAATAAGAACAAAAACAGTATTCCCCCCTTATAATTTTTGTCCCCCCCCATTATAATTTCTTTTTATTGCCTGAGGATGCATGTACTCACCAGAGAGAGACAGAGAGAGAGAAAGCACCCCCCCCCCACTGGGGTATGGTCACACTGCAGTCCCTTCTCCATTTCTCCATCCTTTTGGGGTTTGGGGCATGCAGGCATGCATGCACACACTCTCAGTGTGTTTTTTAAGCTGCCATGTCTGGGACTAGAACTATACAGAAGGCTATGTGGGAACCAGGTGCCTTAGCTATCTTGCCAAGGCATGGTACTGTAAGGGTCATCTGGCTAACTCATTTTTGTTTTTTCAATAGAACTAAATTAAGCTCCTCTGTGAACTACCTTAGCAGCACACAGATGTGGCCAAAGACCAAGGCTTCTGCCCTAGCAGATGTTGGTTCATTCCATTAAAGGACCAGCAAGGTTGAGAGCAAGTTCTCAGAGTTGATGAACATTTGAATCACTAATATCTGGGGCCCATCCCAAAAGGTTTTGATGAAATTGGTCTAATATGAGACCGGAGCACTAGAATTTTTTATATCCTTTTTTTTTTTTTTTTTTAAGGTTTTTGCCATAGGGCATGTGGGCTTGCCAGAAACAGACAGTGAGAGGGAAAGTGAGCAGTCACCACCCATGGGGGATGACCACACCACAATCCTATCTCCTCCATTCTCCTCTTGGGATTTTGAGCACACACACACTTGTTCCTGGTATGATTTTTCAAGCCACCAGGTCCAGGACTCGAACTTCAGTCAGCCAAGTGGGAGTCTAGCATTGTAACCACTACACTACCTGCTGGTCCCTAAATCCCTTGATTCTTCTAATGTGTGATCAAGGCTGAGAATCATTACAGTTAAAAGGTAGAGGAGAAAACATTAATTAGTCTTGGGAAATAGAGAATTTCATGCAACTTTGGGTTTGAGACATTTTTTTCTGGTAAATTGGCAGAATGCTTCTTGACTTTTAACAGTGTAAGACAGCACTGTCCTTTTTAAAGAGACATGAAATTATGTTTCTAACTGAGTTTTACCAAATCAGGTTTTAAGTCCTTCCATTTTTCTCTTGAAAAAATGTGTAGAATGTCTTCTGGGATATCTGTGTGAATCTAGATATAGATGCAAAATACAGATTAGAAAAGAGTCATGATACACTGCTGACTGCTTAGGAAAAGCTTATCAGATGTTTTTCTTCCATTTGATTTGTTCCCATGTAGTTGTGAGGTTCATTCCTGCCTTTAGCTTTGCAATTATTTTCGACAGTTTCTGCATGTATGTTGCTGTTTTTAGAGCCGTAGAAAATAGCTCACTTTTTCATCTGCTACGTACATCATAATTTTTGACAAAATGTGAATTTATTTAACTTTCATTTTATTGTATTTTTTTGTTGTTGTATTTACAGGAACTTTATTTGATGACAAAGGAGACAAACATGCCAAAAAAGGAATTTGTATTTGGGAATGTATTGAGAGAATGCACAAGAGGAGTCCCATTTTCTTTAATTATTTATATTCTCCAGTGGAAATAGAGGTAGTGTATGAAATCATTTATGTTTCGTTTTCTGAATGTTCTCTATTAAAGTTTTCCTTGGTTGGAATATATATAAGCTATTTATGCCTGTTTTAGATATTTGACTAGGTTTGATAACCAAAAGCTATTTCAAACACTATGGGTTTGGATTGCAAAAGAAATGGAGACTGTTCCCAGAGCCCCCGTGTTTAGGTCCCCTGTCTGGCCCTCTTCCTGCACCTCCTAAGTGAGGCATACGGGAAACCAACAGCATGTGCTTAGATGCCCTCCTTCAGCTAAACTCCTGCCTACATCCAAGCTACTCATGAGGCTATTTCTCCAAGTCCGCCTTCCCAGCTCAACTGTACGTGAACCCCTAGACCTAAAGAGCGGCAAGAAGTAGCTGTAGGCAGAGTGGACAGTTGGGTTTAAGAGCTGGGGTATACTAGACGTTTGTACAAGACTCTGACAGTGTAGGATAGAGCCACAGTGGGAGGAGAAAGTGGTTAAGTCAAGGACCGGGAGCAGGGGCCAGGCCCCCAGTGCCACTACTTTCTGGTGTAGAATTCTGAGAGATCAAGAATACACTATTTGAACCCAGCCTTGCATGTCATTAGGAAGTTTCATTTGTCAAGGCAGACAGAAAGGAACATGTTTTATTTAATAGTTTATCTTTGAACTGTTTAGACATATGATATTTGGGCCTCCATTCATACTCTCACCCTGGGCCCTGCAAATGTTAGGAGCAGGCCTGTCTGTACACTTGGGGTACTTTGGGGTCAAGATGAAACTATATTTCAGAGTTTTCTTTAAACAGGCTCTGAAGCCCAACGTAAATGTCTCCAGCCTCAAGAAGTGGGATTACTATGTAGAGGAGACCCTGTCCATGGGACCGTCCTATGACTGGATGATGCTGACCCCCAAGCACTTCCCCTCTGAAGACTCTGACCCGGCTGGAGGAGCTGTGCCCCAAAGCCAGAGGAGGACAGTGTGGCCATGCTATGATGATGTCAGCGGTACTCAGCCTGATGCCCTCACCAGCCTTTTCAGTGTGAGTCAACCATTTGTGCACACACACTTGGGGTACCAGGGGCCCTGGAAACACATGAGGCCCCAGGAATGGGGCTAAGCTAAGACTGGTTTCAAACTTTTGACTGCCAGTCTTCTTATTCTGAACTAGCATTAAAAGTAGCACCTCTTGGGACCAGCAGTTAGCATAATGGCTATGTCACTGGACTCCCATGTAGTTGAACGCAGTTCGAATCCCAGACCCAGTGGCTTAAACTCACGCCGGGCGCCTGTGCATGCGTGCCCAAGATCCCGAGAGGAGAATGGAGGAGAAGGGATTGCGGCGTGGCCATCCCCCTTGGGGGGTGCTTTCTCGCTTTCTGTCCCTCTGTCTCTCTCTGTCTCTCTGGCGAGTGCACGCACCCTATAGCAAAAACCTCTCTAAAAAAAAAAAAAAAAGAGATAGCACCTCTGGAGTATGAAGACACCAGAGCAAAGGGGGACCAGGCTTAACTACTGGAAAGGAGTCTCAATAAAAGTGACTTTCTAGCATTACAGGAAAGCAGTTGAACAGATGGAGCAGTGTACTCCATCCAGCAGCTTCCCAGCTGTGTTAGCTGGCCAAGCAGCCAGAGTCAGGCCTAGGCCACAGCTTTTGTGGGTGCTTTGCTTCCTCTGGTCAGAAGTGTGGGTAGCCGATGGCCTGGTGGGAGTGCCGCCAGCTGCCTCCTGCAGAGGATATTCTGGAGCCAAACCTTCCTGGCAGTAACCACCCTGGGAAACGTTGAGCCCTGAGTTAGGTCACACAGTTCCTGAAGAGTCTCCTCTCTGGTTTCCTGAGCTGGAAGAGTATGCCTCAGTGCTCACAGTGTCACAGAGGCAGCTGCTATGATCTCCAGCTCCCCTGTCAGAAGGGAATCCACTTCCTCAGGCATTTCTTTGCTCATTCTTTCCACATCTGTTTTGAGTTATGAGAATTGAACAATCTCTCTATCAAGAACAAAGCAAGACTTCTCAGAGCATCATCACACTACTAGCAACACCTCAGCTTTTAGGGTTGGGACACAGGCCTAATGCTTGGGCCATCAGATTCCTGTGGGCTGCCCAAGAGTAAAGGTGTTTGGGATACACATTTCATCTCTTACTGTTTAAGCCATTCCGTACCAAAAGGCCTGGTGATATGTCCTAATAAATTAGCTCTACCACAGAGCATCACACCAGCCATGCACCCCCTACTCATCCCAGCCTGGGAGACCTGAGACCCACTGCCCACTTTCTTCAGCTGCCCTCTGGCCATGCCACTCACCTGGGCCCATCACAGAGGAAAAGTGACTCTGGAACACATCCTAATTTCTATGAAATATTGATCTGTTGGAAAATTTCTTTTTATTTCTTTGCAGGAAATTGAAAAATTGGAGCATAAATTGAACCAAACCCCAGAGAAGTGGCAGCAGCTGTGGGAAAGGGTAACCGTGGATCTTAAAGAGGAGCCAGGAGCAGACCGTGTGAGTTGGTGCAGCCCCTTCAAGAGCCCCTTCTGAGTTTTCTTAAGGAACTAGGTCAGGTGGAGCCTCTTGCCACATGTAGCAGGACCCCAGAGGCATGGGGTCATGGACAGGGAGGGGTCATGCCCCAGGGTCCAGGGCAGAAAGTTCCAAATGACTGAATACTTTTTGAGTGTCTCACTCTACCACAGTGACATAATACTTAGGTCTCAGGCCCAGATCCAGGGGAAATTACTGGGCTCTTTTCTATCTCAGAGCCTTTGTGGTTTCAGCTGATCATCTGCCACAGGCAGGAGGGGAGCACCGAAGTCATATCTGCTCCAGAGAAATAAGTGAAGAGTTTCTGATTTAAGGAAAATATATCATAAAAGTTGTTCAAAACCAGATAGTTGTTTTTCTGCTTCTATACCCATTTCTAGTTTCTGACTTAAACATTTATCAAGCACACAGTATGTGTGAGTACCTTTCTTAGTACTACATACATGTTCACATCCCATTTCATCCACAATGAGGGAGTGGTGTCCCACCTCATCATACATGATGGGACAGGCACAGCCACCACCCAACCCACATCAGGTTGCCTCCAAATACAACAGAAGGGAAGTTAGGACATATGTCTGTTCTGAAGAGCATTTCAGGAAGGAGAGGTCAGTGGGGTCAGATGTCACAGAGAGGTCAAGAAGTGCAGAGGGGAACCAGCAGTTAGCGTAATGGCTATGTCGCTGGACTCCCATGTAGTCGACCGCAGTTCGCGTCCCAGACTCGGTGGCTTAAAACTCACGCCAGGCACATGTGCATGCATGCTCAGGATCCCAAGAGGAGAACAGAGGAGAAGGGATTGTGGCGTGGTCATCCCCCCTCGGGGGTGATTTCTCGCTTTCTGTCTCTCTGTCTGTCTGGCGAGCACACGTGCCCTTATAGCAAAAAACCTCTCCAAAAAAAAAAAGAAGTGCAGAGGGTTAGGCCGTCAACCTCCTAGCTTAGTGGTGTGGTTTGGCCCTGTAATGAGAAAGCTGGATCTCACATGGCCAACCCATGTTCAAGTCCCAGTCCTATAAGCTTCACACGGGGCCAGGATATGTGTGCTTGGGATCCTGAGGATGGAGAATGGAGGAAAAAGGGACTAGGTCCCATGGTGGAAGGGAGGGGCTCAAATCTGACCACTCAGACCCTCCAGTCCTCTCTATTGCCTTCAAATGGGAATTCAGAAGCTATTACCAGGCTCCAGGTGGGAGATAACGTAATCCTTTTTCTATATCAGAAAAAGTTTCTTGATATCTTTTTTCTGATTGTGAAAGTGAAGTAAATTTATTTTTTTATTAAGATAATATTCAGAAAGTTATAAACTAGAAGACAAAAATCACCCATCATTTATAACACAGAAAAAATTACTATGCTATCAAATTTCTTTTTGTCATTAAAAACCCACAAATGAAATGGATTTACTATAGACACGGTTTATTTTTTGTTGTCTTAATTGCCAGAGGTGTTTGTATTTACCAGAGGATGGAAAGAGAAGGAGAAAGCACCCCCTGTGGAGCATGGTCACACCACAGTTTTTTCTCCTCAATTTCTCCATCCCATAAAGATTTGGGGCATACCTGCACGCACATGCGCCTGATATGTTTTTCAAGCCACTAGGGCCGGGATTCAAACCATGGTTGGCCATGTGGAGTCCGCTCCCTTAACCTAGACTATAGGACCAACCCAATAGATACCATTTTTTAAACCTGCTTTTTTTTTTTTACTTAGTATTGGCGTATATGTTCTTTCATTTATTACTGTGTATAAATCAACATTATCATTTTTTTAAGAATTATATAATTTAATCTATTCATTCTTTTTTTTTTTTTAATTTGACCAGGGAGAGACACAGAGAGAGAGAAAGGGAAAGTGAGAAAGCAAGCTGCCAGGTCCAGGACTCGAACCATGGTCAGCCATGTGGGAGTGTTCAGCACCTTAACCACCATGCCACCTGCTGGTCCCCAACATTATCATTTTTAATGGCCGACTAGAATTCCATTTTGTAGGGA